GGAGCTCTGCAGCCGTCCACGGCTTCAGGAAACAAAACTGATACGGATGCTTAACAGTTGGTGTATCAGGAGCACACAGGGATAAAACGAAAAGGGGAGGGGGTACATAATATATATGGTGCTATACATTTAATTTCCCAGAAAAACACACAGTGAACAGTCAACAGTCACTTCCTCATGGGACTAGAACTGGGAAACAGCAGGTTTTACTTTTCATTATATCCTGCTCAACTGTTTGAATTTTTTTTCCCACTATGTACAGGTATTATTTTTATATTAAACACAAATTTCATAGAGGAGTAAGTAGAATTGGGCAGGTACAACAGTGATTAACGATCCAATTCACAATGCTCTTCACAGATAAATCTGGAGAAAAGAGCTATATAAGCCTAAATAACCTGAGGTGAAAACAAAAACACTACTATTATTTAAATTTTTGCTAGAGACAAAAAGCATACACCCAAGCTCTTTAGGCTGCTTTTCAAGGTAAATCTAAATGCAGGCCCAAAGGAGTGAGAAGCAAGAGGAAGCAAGTCAGGCATTTGCAGAGGGTGAGCAGCCCACGAGCACTAAGTGGTCCAGACAAATCCTGCACCACCCAGTAAAAGCCCTCCGCTGCTGCGAGCGTGACACGAAAGCTTTTACCTAGAAAAAGAGACAGAGGGGCGGTGGGAGAGCAGCGAGGTGGGGACAAGAAAGAGATAAGATGAAAGCTAGTGACAAGCTGACAGTGATAACCAGAGAGGTGGCAGATGGCATTCCTTTGTGACTGTCCATCCCCGACAGGAGGAAGAGTCTGAACCCACCGACCCACCCACAAAGGCAGCCCCAGAAGCACTGGACCTTATGGCTGGAATCCACCCAGTAAAAGCCCTCCGCTGCTGCGAGCGTGACACGAAAGCTTTTACCTAGAAAAAGAGACAGAGGGGCGGTGGGAGAGCAGCGAGGTGGGGATAAGAAAGAGATAAGATGAAAGCTAGTGACAAGCTGACAGTGATAACCAGAGAGGTGGTAGATGGCATTCCTTTGTGACTGTCCATCCCCGACAGGAGGAAGAGCCTGAACCCACCGACCCACCCACAAAGGCAGCCCCAGAAGCACTGGACCTTATGGCTGGAACGCACCAGAGAGGCCTCCACACCTGTCCAGCATGTATGGGGTTCATCTCCCTGTCCCCAAGTTTCTGGAAGCCAAGAAAGAGGCTTACATGGGCATTTGGGGCCAGAGACACAAAACCGCAGACAGACACCGTGAATGCAGGCAGATTTCCCAACCAGACAACAATCTACATGAGAATTCAGGAAGGCACGTATGCTCCTCTGTACTCCTCTGGCAAAGAATTAAGGAAGGTGAGGAACTGGAAAGCAATTGTTAATTGTACACCATGACCCAGTAATTCTACTTCTAGAAATGTATCCTCAGGAAATAATCAGAAGTTTTAACAGAGATTTATTATAAGGATGCAAATGAAGCAGTGTTAATAACAGTGAAAGGTGGGAACAGATTCCATGCATAACAGCAGAGGTGAGGTTCAATAAACCATGGTACTTCCATGCAAGCGAGTGCTACCATGGACCCAATCAAAGCCATATTCTAGAAAGCTGACTAAAAAAATAGGGAAATGTTTACAATATATTATAAAATAGGAAAAGAAAATAAGCTATAAAACATTAAATACCAACTAAAAACAATATTCTTCATAAAAGAGGGTGACAGTTACTCACAAATTACATTACAGCTCACTAGTCCCTACCCAATAGTCATTCTCCCCTTCACAGTTAGTGACAGAGCCCTAGTATGTAGGAGTGGCAATGTGGCCATCTAAAAAACTTGTGTCCTCAGGTCACCTGTAGGAAGGGGTGGCCAATGAAGTGTAAGTGAAAGTTGTTGAACAGGGGGCTTCCAAAAACCTCTTTAAAGAGGTCTTGTTCAGCTAGAAGTCCCCAAAAAAAAAAAAAAAAAAAAAAAAACTTGTGTCCTCAGGTCACCTGTAGGAAGGGGTGGCCAATGAAGTGTTAAGTGAAAGTTGTTGAACAGGGGGCTTCCAAAAACCTCTTTAAAGAGGTCTTGTTCAGCTAGAAGTCCTCTTTACCCTCCCCCTTTCTGGCTGAGTGTAGAAGTCGTGGCTAGAGCTCCAGCAGTCACCTTCTGACCATGAGGGTGGCAGAAAGGGAGGTCCTTGATAGCATCTCGGGGTTGCCATAACACTCTGAGGGCTGGCAGGTTGTTCAACTGGTTAGAGCACAGAGTTATAACACCAAGGTCAAGGGTTCGGATCCCCATACTAGCCAGCCACCAAAAAAAACAAAAACAAAAAAAAACACCCACATAATATCCTTGAACTTAACATCACATCTAGATTTAGCGTCATGTAAGAGAAAATGAAATGTCTTTCTTACGTAACATTAAACAATGCTGGCTCTTCTTAAACCACTATCATTTCAGATCTTCTTGTTACCTCCGCTGACTGGTGCAATGATGCTGATACAGTGTCTCTCATACATACAAAGGTGTGTGCATGCATGTGTGTGCATGCACGTGTGTGTGACAAGTCACTGGCACCGAGTGGGCCAATGAAGTCTGCCTCACAGCAGGATAGAGACTGGAGCACGTGCCTCCCCCTCACCTGTGGCACAGCTGCATGGCCTCTGCAGCTGCCGTCGCCTCATCCAGCAGGGATGCATTGGCCATGTCCATGCCTGTGATGTCACACACCATGGTCTGGTAGTTGAGTAGACTCTCCAGCCTCCCCTGAGACACCTCTGGCTGATATGGAGTATACTGCGTGATCCTGTGAAGGAAGCAAAAGGCTGTGTCCAAACTGTGTTTCTACTTACTCAGAGAACCTTATGGAATGCCTTCATTTCAGAATTCATTTACAGAAAATTAAGTGCTCCTCTCTTGAGGAGGATCACAAAACACAGCAGTAAGCTTCCCTTTGGCCTTTGTGAAGATGCTCAGAAGTAAATCACAGTAACAATATGATCCTTTGTTTGGGAATAATCAGTAATTATTTTTCTATCCCCTCATGTTATTTTTTTTTATTTCGCATTGTGGTTTTTTTAATCTTACATTGTATTTTAATGATCTTATTGCACACGTGTTTTACTGAGCCTACCTATGATATTATAAACAGAAATTTCACTTTCTATTATCTTTCCTCTAGATAGAAGAATAAAAGAATACCTCATGCACAGTCCACAGTAAGAAAGCATCCAAGCATCTAATAACTAATACTCGAAACTTTTAAAAAAAATCTTTGCTGTATAGTAACCAGGAGAAGTTCTATGTTCTCCTAAGAAATTAATAGAGGTCTATTTAAGGATTCTCATTGTCCAGTTACTAAGAGTCTATGGACGCTAACTCCTCAACTATCAAAATTCAGGGATACAAATGATTAGAAGGCAGCACAGACATGGATTCTAATTTTATGTCCTCCAGTCATTAGCCAAGGATGTGGCTTTGGATATGAGTTAACCCACTTGATTCCTTCACACTTTTATTCAGTCTTTCATTCATTCACCCATCTTACAGATATTTACTGCCTACTAAGTGCCAGGCACTATGATAGGTTCATAAGCAACAAGGATAACAGTTCCTGATCTCAAGGAGAATATATTCTAATGGGGAAAAAGAGAGTAAATAAATGAAATCATTTCAAAGTGATAACTGAAGACTTGAGAGAGAACTGCTCCCTTTTCACCAAAAATCCAAAATTCACTCTGACTACCACCAGAGCAGGTCAGAGCTAGGTCCACGCAGCTGCATGGGACTGACATTGGTCATATCTCTATTGCGTTCATACATCCATGCCAGAGTTTTAGGAGAAAGTTTTAGATGTTTTATTTTGTCTTGCTTTGCTTTTCATTTTTCAAGCCGTTTTCCTTGCTCTCCTTTTCTGGTAATCATGGATATTTCCATCCATCTTTTTTTCTTTCTTTTCTTTTTAGAAGGCTTTGAAATCAACATTTTCTCATCTTTGACGGGGAGTGTGATGGGCAGGTTGCCTTACCAAGCAGTACAAGGGCAAGACTTGGAAATAATTTCTTGAAGCTTTTATTGGTGTAACAATATGTGTGTGTGTGTGTATATATTAGAATAAATTTTTGCTTCAATTAACTCCTTGCACAGCCAGGCTTAGCAACTGTAAATTAGTTTGCCAAATTCTAAGCGGGTGGTGAACTGGAATGAATGAGGCACACAATACATGGTGCAGGCAAGTAGAAAGGAAATCTGAGCAGAAATGGGGTCACACAAAAGGCACAGACAACAGGCAGTTGTGACTGCAAATCAGACAAGACCTTCACACATAGCTCACCACCATGAAGACATGCAGCACTACTCCTGCCATATGTTTAGACTGCCTGGCTAACATGACACTTTCATTTTACTCAGAATCATTATTTAACATGGTGACACACTCACTGTTACACGTGCACACACGCCTATGTGCACATATCAGCTAGCCCATCTGATAAATAGGAAAGGTTCAGTATATCCACAAAGATAGGCATGGAATATGCTCCAAAGAATTCATCACAGCACTAAATATAACAGGAAAAACGAGCAACAAACTAAGTGCCCAATAAAAGGGGAATGATAAAAAACAAATTAGGCAACACGCATATAATATTACGTAGTCATTGAAAATGATGCTATAGAAGAATATTTCCTGATGCAGAAAATGCTCATGATATATAAATTTACAAAGTAAAACATAAAATACTATTATCTCATTTTTTTAAAATTTATGAAAACAAGTAGGTGACTCAAAATGTAAACAGTGGTTTTCTCTTGGTGATGAGACTAACACTAATTTTTACTTCCTTTTTATCATATGCTCCAAATGGTAAAGACATCAGCTACCGTTTATTAACCATCTTCTATGTTTCAGGAACACATTTACTATCTGTTTTTATGATTATGTTATACAAGCTCATTGTAACAAGCTGGAAAACCCAGCTAACTACTGAGGAAATAAAATCATTCATAATTCCCACACTTCAAGATAACTACAGTTAACACTTAGATACACTTCTTTTCAGTTTCTTTTCTAGATAGTAATCATATTTACATTTGAAAGTAGGATTACGTTCTATGAAAAGTTTTGTGTCCTGCTTTTTTCAGCCTCACACTATTCCATGAACAATTTCTAATGGCTTTAAATATTATTTTAAAAAATAATTTTAATTGTTCTGTGGTATTGGATCATTTTATTTACTTCATAAATGGTTTAAATCATAATTTATTCACTTAAATCATCATTTATTTAACATGTTCCTTCAAGTTGCATATTACTTTTTTTTTTTAAAGATGACCGGTAAGGGGATCTTAACCCTTGATTTGGTGTTGTCAGCACCACGCTCTCCCAAGTGAGCTAACCGGACATCCCTATATGGGATCCTAACCGTGGCCTTGGTGTTATCAGCACCACACTCCCCCGAGTGAGCCACAGGCCGGCCCTAAATATTACTTTTGATTAGAAATAGCATAATAGTCCTTATTTTGTCTTATTTCCTTAGGATAAATTCCTAAAAGTGGAATTTCAAATCACATACGATAACTAATTTTAAGGCTGTCAGTACATATTGCCATGTTCCTCTCCAGAAAGCTAATGCTTATCTGTACTCCCTCAAGCAGTATTGTGATTCACAGACTTCCCTGCATCTTCAAAAATACTAAATATTAAGAAGCCCTGGGTGAGGGCCGGCCTGTGGCTCACTTGGGAGAATGTGGTGCTGAGAACACCAAGGTCCCGGGTTCGGATCCTATATAGGGATGGCCGGTTCGCTCACTTGGGAGAGCGTGGTGCTGACAACACCAAGTCAAGGGTTAAGATCCCCTTACCGGTCATCTTTAAAAAAAAATCCCTAACTTTTGGAAATTTATATGTGTATATGTGTCTGTATGTGTTTTTTTTTTTCCTTTTTGTCTTTTTTCGTGTCCGGCAACGGATCGCAACCCTCAGTNCAGTATATAATTAATATTTTCAATGATCTACAGACCCTTGAAAAGATGTGTTTTTGTTTTTTGTTTTGTTTTTCCTGTTTTGGTCTTTTTAAAAATTTTAAAAGCACACTCATTTCCCAAATAGTTCTATTAGATAGGAGTGTACTTCAAAAAGCTCATGGAAAGATTCATATTGTCTTTTATAATTCCATTTTTCCATGAACTTTCTGAAGTGCCCTTGTATTTCTACAAGAAATTCATCCCACCCCCTGTGAGCTTTACATTCCCTGCTCTTCTCCCAACTAGACCCCAAACAGTTTCTCTGACTGATATTCCCATTCCTTAAAGGTACCATTATTTTGCCAATTCTGGAGGAAAAAATGTTAAAAAAATGTTAGCCCCAAATAATGACCAATCCCCATTAATCTTTCTTACCCATGTCCTGTATCCACCCCTTTTTCTTTTTTGCCTTACCAGTCTAGCAAAGTGCTTAAAACAGGAAATTATCTAAAATTTGTGATGCAAATGTATGTGTTTGACTCCCCTGCTCAGATACCCCTGATGGCTCCCTGTTACCTGCTGGAAAAATGCCCTAACTTCCCAAGCACAGCCCTTCATACCTGAGACTGTGCTGTCCCTTCAATCACAGACTTTGGGATTTAATATTCCCCTCCTTCTCTTGTTCAGCCTTCCTCTCCTTACTCAAGCCTTTTATAAGTCCAAGGTTAGGTTAATATTCACTAGCATTGCTAAAGGTAGCAGGCTTTAAAATGGTTGTTTTGCAAAGATGACAAATACATAATTTGCTCCTTTTGCTTGTAAACTTTTCTAGTCTACAGTGTTTTTATACTACTATACTGAAATAAAAACAGGTTAATGCTCTTAACAATGATCTATAAAAGGACTCTCAGGTCAGTGAGTCTCAGGCCTGGTGATAGTAAATAAAGCCTCATTTCAGGAAAAAATGCTATCAAAGGGCCTGTCAGCATGCATACGACAGTTTGCTTGCCTCAATTAGGTAAAACAATAATTAAGAAAATGTGTTTGTGATCTATAATGTCTATGTTGCAAATGCCTAACTCAATTGGTCTGTTTCTAGATGCATTTTAATATCAAAAAAATCTGCATATCCAAGAAGGCATTTAGTTCAGCTCAAATAGCATGCTTGATATACTCAACATGGCATTAACATTTATTCCAAAATAATCAACTTTCCCTGTCACTTCAACTCTGACTTTCTTTTGGAATTGGGGAAGAGAGAGGTATTGGGGGTTTTCAGTAGGACAAACACTCATGGGATCAAGTCATTGTAATCCTG